GATTTAAATGATTTGCGACCTGTCCAAGTTTTTTTAAAAAAATGGCTGCTTTTTGAATCAAAGAAATCTTTATAGTATGTTAGCATTTTTTAACTTTGATTGCAGATTGCAACAATAACGTGCTGCTAATTTTTTAAAACTGACAATTTTTTTAATAGTAATGGCTTCTTGTTGCTAGAATTACCTTTAATCCTCCATCTTCAAATGCTGTAAAATTTATTTTGATCTCTAATTTCTACTGCACGAGGAACTGAGACAATAACTGCCTGAAATTTTTTTCTTTTTAATTTTGAACCGCACAAAATATGGATGCACTATTTCTAGATTATGAGCTGTCAATTGCTTTTTCCATAAACAAAAACTGGAGGTTTTTATTAATGGAGAAAGCAATATTTTTATTTAAAAGACTATCCTTAGCTAATCCTTGAGTTGTTTTAATTGTATTCAAACGAATAACTTTACAATTAAGCATATTCAGGAAAAGAAGGAAGTCTTGGCGTTGGAAAAAATTGGTATTGTCTAGCAATTGACCTAAACTACGAATTGGATATTTATCTATAACCTAAATATAATTATCTATAATATTAAGAGTAAAATTGCAATTTTGATACAGATACAAATTAAGAATGAAACAACAGTGTTCTTTAATTTAAATGTAACATTTCGATAAAATGGACCTCAATGACAAGTGCTATTTGATACAGCCAAACATTTTGCTCAAAATTCGTAGTTGAACTATGTGCTTTATGGGGAGTCTGTTCTGATTCTGCGTGCCTACATGTCTTAAAATAGAATTGTTGAACGTAATCGTAGCACAGTTAAACCTATGGTAGCCTGGAGCGGTAAAGATTTGTTAAAGCTCCCTTAAGGATTGTCCATAAATTACGCAATGCTAAACTTCACTAATAATAAAAAAAAAATCAAAAGATTTCTCTCGCAAAGTTTTAAGTTAAATCAAAAATTAAAATAGCTCATTAAGTTTGATAAAAATTGCTGCGTAAATGAGCTCAAGATTTCCTACTTCTGTTTTTTAAACAAATTTAGCGTTACGTAATTTATAGACAACCCCTTATGAAGCTTTACTCCCCTATGAAGGTGTAAAGGAAAGCAAACAAAGCAAAGAAAAGTTTCAGATGCCGGAAAAGTAGTTTCCGTATAAAGCTACGTAAAACGTGGAACAATAATAACAATAAAAGTAAGACATAAAAAATGAATAAATAATATTTACAATAAAGATTTCCTTAACAATAGAGAATTAAATAAAAATTAGGAATCAAGAATGCGGAAACTCGAAGAAGTCCCTGAAGTCTTGTCGCAGAGAACCGCTCGAATCAAAACGCTTTAAATAAATTCATTTTTATTGTTTTTTTTGTAAATGTTTATTCGCTTTTGAATTGGATCTGTTTCGATAAATAATTATATAAACCTTTGCAATACTTTATCAAAAAATAGTTAAAAATAAATAATATGCTTCAGTATAATTTTTGATGTGTTTAGATGACGTCATAGTATTTTGGTGATAATATAAATCCGTTTTCATCGATTAGATTTAAAAAAAAAAAAAAAAAAAAAAAATTGTATTGAACATTACTTGCATTAAAATTGTAGAAAATGAAATCTGGTTGGTGTGGACATTCTTGTTGATAACTAGCTCTTGTTCTAATATAGTTTTTTTTTTTTTTTTTTTTTTTTTTTTTTTTTTTTTTATGTATCTATATTTTTTCATCTGTATCTATATCGAAGAAATTTGGCATCCCAAAGCAAGCTGGTCAAAAGCAAAAAACACTATATATTCAGAAGTTGAAAAAAATTTAACTACTGAAAATTAAAAGTCACATATACATAGTATATGTGACTTTTTTAAATTTTCAAAAAGTCCAGCATAACGGGAGCTTCGCCTACTTCAGGCTCGCTATTTCGGACAATATATACCCCTTCAGAATTAACAGGATGCTACTGTAATAACCCATGTAATTTTTAACAATCAATTTTTTAACAAATAATTTTTAACAAAGAATTTTTAACAAACTTGAATTTCTGGTAATTTAAACTCAAAAGGTTTTTATTTTTCTGAAAAAATTTAACTTAAAAGTGTTTCACGGGTCTTTCAGAATAAACGGCCGGTGTATACTTCTTTGTTGTTGTTGAGAATCTGATATTCCACTGATCTCAAAATAATAACTGGATAGCGCATTCGGAAAAATTTTTGAAGCCAGTTTTGGCCTACCAAGATGGCGGCGTAGTTTGCCAACGGTTATAGAAGTACCGTTTAAAAAATCAAAAAACCTTAAGCGTAATCGATAAAGATAAAATTTTAAACACAAATAAGGTTTTTTTTTTTTAAAAAAAACAATTTTTAAAAATAAAAGTAGGTATATATATAATATATATATATATATATATATATATATATATATATATATATATATATATATATATATATATATATATAATATATATATATAAAATATATTTATACATATTCATAAAAAATATATATACATTGCTTAATATGAATATTATTTATCCTAATATATATATAATATATATATATTAGGAAAAATAATATTTATATTATGCAATATTTATATTATGCAATATATATATATTTTTTATAAATATGTATAAATTTATTTTATTATAAGATAAATAAAATCCTTCAAAAAAATTTAATAACCAATTTATGTACCTTTTAGTTCTTAATTATCTTATGCTGTGTGCTAGAAGGTTAATAACACAACTGCATGATAGGCAGCTTAGTATCTGTTTAATATGAATTAGTCTTAAAAAAAAATTGTTTTAAACAGATACTTGTAATGTATATATGCTGCATGAACTATTAGCTGAGCTCTGTGAGTACACACAACTCAGAGGTTCCTTCTAGAGTTTGTTATCATTAATTATTTTAGTTTAATTTTAATAGATTTTTCTTTTAATACAAATAAATATACTTACTATATACACACACATAAATATACTCACCTAGTACATTTAAGTGAGTATATCTATATATATATATATATATATATATATATATATATATATATATATATATATATATATATATATATATATATATATACATATATATATGTTTTGTGGATATACCATCAAGGTGTTTAATGAACAGAGCTATAATATAGAAAATAATAAAACTATGTGTTGCAATCATCGGGTGAAATACTTTTCATTTTTATTTCACCTGATGATTGCATCAGCATGAAACTTAATGTTGTAATGTTGTAAAATTTGCATGAAATTCGTTTTATTTTCTACTATATATATATATATATATATATATATATATATATATATATATATATATATATATATATATATATATATATATATATAAATAAATGTTTGTATGTATATTATATATATGCATATATAATTCCTGATAAGTTGTAACCTTTAAGTGTCGGAGGAAATACTGGAAGTTCAATTTTTTAAAGGTTTGAGTTATCAGGAGTTTACTGTGTATATATCGATGACATAGTGCACAGATGTGGTAAGTGCAAGATTAAAACTGTAGAAACTGTCATTTGTGCGCGTAATTATAATAAGAAGAGTTTTTGTATTTACCACATTGTCAATTATTAGACTCTTTATCGTTTATCCTACACATACCATATTTATTCACAATAAACTATAAATAAAAACAGGTTTTTCTGTGTACTTATCTCAATTTGACCAAAATTTGTACTTACCATATCTGTGCACTAAAATGGTATACTAAAAACAAATGTTTTCATTGATTTTTGAATAAGACAAATTTAATCAACTGCTTCCTAAACTTTTTTCCAGTCAATTTGTTAGTTACTTCTTTGCATTGGTGATGAAAGTGTATTTTTCAGTAATTTTTTGAAATAACTTTAATCAATGAGAATAAATGCTTATCAGTTAAAGACGAATCTAGCATATGATGAGTTAGTTCTGTGAATACTTTTGATATATCAACTGATCTCAAAACAACACTTGCATTTGCATTTTTAATTCCTATATCATTAGGGAGGGTAATATTTGTTGATGTAAGAAACCTTTGGAAACATCTTTCTGTTCCTTCGCATACCAAAACACTTTTGCTTGGTTTAACTAAACCTCCTCTAGAGAATTTATTCTCAATAAAATGTAACATACATATGTTACATCTTTACATACTATGTATGTGTTAAACTGTCAATAATTATCCTTCAAACTTTGAGGAATAATTATTCACAGTTGAGTTTGACAAGAGTTAGACTTTAAATCTAAGTCATTGAGAGATAATTTTTTACTTTGGAATATAAATATTGTTTTATATTTTCACTGAATATTGAGTCCAGAAAGTTAATGCATTAAATAATAAAATGACTTTTATAATCCTAGAAGGAACCTCTGAGTTGTGTGTACTCACAGTTCTCAGCTAATAGTTCATACAGCATTTGTACAATAATGTTTCTACCTACAAAACTCATGATTTTAAAAGATAATTTTTTACTTTGGAATATAAATATTGTTTTATATTTTCACTGAATATTGAGTCCAGAAAGTTAATGCATTAAATAATAAAATGACTTTTATAATCCTAGAAGGAACCTCTGAGTTGTGTGTACTCACAGTTCTCAGCTAATAGTTCATACAGCATTGGTACAATAATGGGTCTACCTACAAAACTCATGATTTTAAATTTCTTTAAAGATTGTAGGTAGACATCGTTGCTGCTTACCATACAGTTGTGTTATTAACCTTCTAGCACACAGCATTGGGTAATTAAGAACTAAAAGGTACATAAATTATAAACCTCATTTAAAAAGTGTATACTAGCTGAATATTTTAATAATTAGGAATCAAATAAATTTATTTCGCCATCTTATTTTCCTTAAAAATAGTTTACTTTTCTTATTCGGTCAGAATTTTTATACGATTCAAACCGCTAACAGTTCTAACCGACGCCATCTTGGTAGGCCAAAATTGGCTTCAACTTTTTTTAAGAAAAACAATAGAATACGCTATCCAGTTATTATTTTGAGATCAGTGCTGATATTCACGTGATTATTTTTCTGAGAAGAGGACACTTACTTTCATCGAATATAAAACTCCGCAATTATGACAGACCAGTATGTTTATACTTGTATATAGTTCTCTATTTTTTGAAAATTTCTCATTCAAATTTTAGTTTTTTCAAAAGTTAAAAATTAATAAAATTTAATTTTTTTTTTTTTATGTTTAAAAATAGTTTTAAATTTGAAAACTTTTGATTTTAACTTTTATTAAGAACTAAAAGTATACATATATGTTTAATGAAATAATGTATATAAATATAAAATTATATATATATATATATATATATATATATATATATATATATATATATATATATATATATATATATATATATATATATATATATATATATATATATATATATATATATATATATATATATATATATATATATATATATATATATATATATATATATATATATATATATATATATATATATATTGTACATAAATTTCACATTGAATGGCTTGGCTTTAATGCCACTGACCCTGCTGGCATTAAAACCTATAACTTTTGCATTTCTCAATATCTTACTCAGTTAACTTTGTGACTCATTTACCTGACAACCCTGACAACATCATTACCTTCTCTCCTTGATTTACATCTGGTCTCTGATCCTAGCTTGTGCTCAATTTCTCCTTTTTCTCCTTAAGGCGGTTCTTACCATGCAATAATCTCTTTTAAAACTTTTATCTCATACTTCCTTTTTGAACTCACCCTATCATTGCCCTACTTACTACTACACTAAAGCTGACTGTGATTCTTTTTGTGATTTTCTTGGTGGCGGTCCTTGGGCTGATGTCTTTTCCCTCTCAGCTGAAAAATGTTCCTCTTATGTAACCTCCTGGATTCAAAAAAGATTGGAAGCTTTTGTTCCTTCTTGTTTGTTCCAAGTTAATCTTCATTCTACTCCATGGTTTTCACCTTGTGCGGCTGCTATATCTAATTCTAAAAATAATTGTAATCAACTCTCTGGAGAACAAACTGCAATTTATCATTACTAGAAATCACTGTAAAAAGGTGTAGTCAGATGCTAAACTCCATTATTCTCAGTTTACTAAATCTTGTATCTTATCTCAGAAATTAGGCTCTTAAGACTTTTGGAAAATCTTTGGCAGTGTCATTAACAAAGGTAGGTCTAACATTCCATCTCTTCATAGGACTGATCTTATTACCTCTCCCAAAAAAGCAGAACTATTTGAAAAGAACTTTTCTACTAATTAGACTCTTGAATTTTATGCCCATTCTCTTCCTTTCTTTCTAATTAAACAGGTTAACCCATTGTTAGACATTCAAATCACTCCAGCTATCTTTGCTAAAGTCATATCTAAATGAAACTCTTCTAAGGCTTGTGGTCCTGGCAACATTCCTGTCATAATCTTAAAATTGTTCTCCAGAACTCAATTCTCTCTAAGCTATTTAATAAGTGCTTGACTGAGTCTTGTTTTCCTGCCTGCTGGAAAATGGCATCTGTTATTCCAATTTTTAAAAACTCTGGTAAACATTCTGACGCCTCCAATTATTATCCAATCAGTCTTCTTTCTGTTATTAGCAAGGTCTTTGTGTCTTTGATCAACAAATTTCTCATATCCCATCTCAAATCAAATAACTTACTGTCAGACAATACAGTTTTCGATCCTCTCCCTCTTTGGCTGACTTGCTAACTGATGTAACTGAAAGATTTTAATGTGCATTAGATGGAGGTGGAGAGGCTAGAGCTATTACTTTTGACATATTTATAGTTTTTGATAAAGTTTGGGATGCTGGTCTTCTCTATAAGCTTGTTTCATATGATGTATCTGGGAAAGTTTTTGAGATTATCAAATCATTTCTTTCTGACCATCTTATTAAAGTTGTCGTTAAAGGCCAACACTCCTTTATTTCCAGTAACTTCTGGGGTACCTCAAGGTTCTATCCTTGATACCTATTTTATTTCTTATCTACATGATCTTCTGGACAACCTTACATTTAAAGTAGCTCTTTTTGCTGATGATCAATTTTATACTCCTGTCTTGATAAGAATTCTTCTCTTTTCGATTGCTTAGAACAGGCAGCCAATCTTGAATTTGATCTCACATCTGTAACTGATTGGGGTTAACAGTGGCTTGTAAATTTTAACTTTAACCAAAACTCAGTTATATACTGCAAACAACTATAGCAGTACTGTTGACATTCCTATATTAATGAATGGCAACCCTCTCACTGAGTCCTCTTCTTTACATCTTCTTGGATTATCATTTATTACTGATCTTTTATACAAACCATATATACAATCGATTGCTAAATTAGCATCTGCTAAGGTTGCTTCTCTATATCGTGCTCGCCATTTTCTCTCTCCTGATTCCATTCTCTACCTCTACTAATCTCTTATTCGTCCTTGTATGGAATACTGTTATCATATTTGTGCTGGTTCTTCTAAAATGCTCTTTCTCAAAAACGCATTATAAATGTAATTGGAGAAACAAGTTGAGCATGGTATTACCAGAGATGTGGTGGGAATCAAATTACTTTCCAATAAATGTAAATTTTATCCATAAAAAGGTGTATTTACATAATTTAGTAGTTTTTTTATACAAAAAGTTTTTAATGTTTCATTTTACATCTCGAGGAAACGCTAGAGGTGTTTCTAATATTTGGGGTGGATGTGGTGATGATTGTTTAATACACCCTTGTATAAATAAAATATTTTTTTAATCAAAACTATTATAGCAATTATATAAAATTTATATTCTACTTGATTACAACATATACCAGTGGTATATAGATTGACATAGAAAGGGAGGGGCATATGATCTGCCCCTCCACCTTAGACCTAAATCGAAATTCTTGTTTTGTTAAATTGCTATTACTGTGTGCTAAAGATACCAAAACAAAATTTAAATGCCACTATGATACCTCATGTTGCTTGGTATAATTAGAGTTGATTCGCTCTGCCAATTATCTAAAACCTAATCTATTATTCTTTAACCTAAATCCAAAGAACGTTTAAATTTTATCATTTTTTGTATCGTTATATAATGTGAAAAACATATTATTAAAAATTGCCTATTCATCTGTGTTGTGTCTATTTTCTTTTAGGATGGGTTGTTTGCTCCTCCTAACCAAATGGGATTATTGTAATAAATTTGTGTTACAAAATAATGTTATACATTACAACATTGTAAAATAATATAACACAATATTATAAAGTAATATTATATAACTGCTATTGAGGGCCTACTTGACAACAGGGCGCAACAAATCACCAAACATGCGAACGTTTGTTAAAAAAAAGACAAGAAAACAAACGCCACATTTCTTTACTTTTACTTAAGTCAACCTTGACGTTTGCTTAAAATTTTTTAAAACGAATGCATTACTTCAGCATTTTTTTTTTCTTCAACAAAAAAACATATATATATTAAAAAAATGACTTTAAATTTTAAAACGCATTTTCAATGGCGCATTAAAATTTAAACACATTTTCAAATTTTAAAACGCATTTTCACTTTAAAAATAACAATTACTTTTATCAATAGGGTTACTTTTAAATTAAATAACTAAGTACACCTTTAAAGAAATTAATCATGTTTTAGCATGGTTTTTACATGCATTTACAAAAGCGCGCAAAATTTTAATCAGAATGTATTTTCTATTACTTTAAAAGAAAATTGCTTAAGCATAAAGTTTTTTGACAAAAGCGTGCTTTTTTTTTAAAGTTTCTTATTTTCCTTAAAGTGAAGTTTTAAAACTTTTAAAACTTTTATAAAGATTTTTTAAGTTTTGTTAACATATAGAGTAAAATGGGGTCAAATGAAATAGTTAAGGATTTTAATTATTAATTTTTTACAAAAAAAAGATTTTTCCTTTTTTTTTTTAAAGTTGTAGAGAGTATTGAGCTATATTTAAATATATAAAATTTTAACAATTTTTTTGTAAAGTTTTTTATGAAACTTTAATTGATTAATAAAAATTTTATTCCATTCTACATTGACATTCGGGGAGAATGAAACACGCAAATATAAGTGTAATTAAAACAACACTTTATTAAAAAAACAAAAAAGCAATCAATAATAACAATTAAAACAATCAATCAAATAAAATAAACTTTTGATTTGGTGATGGCACTATCATAGATTCTGGTTGTTGAGATGATGAAGGCTCAGGTTCAGATCTTGGTGTTTCAAATGTATTAGATATTTGCAACTTTGACTGGTCGATTTAATCGATGTTGAGTTGGAACAAGCCAGTATTCTGAAACCCAGTGACTATTTGGGTACGTGTATACTATTTAAGTACGTATATAACTTCACCAGAGCTGAAAGGTTTTTTTTGCAGGTGACTGAAATATTCTTTTGATAAGTTGCTAAACTTTGTCTCTGCATAAAACTGTTGAAATAATTTGCACCAAACTCTTTTGACATAGCAATAAACACCAACATCTAGTGGCTGTAGAATGTGTGACAAGTGAGCTGGTAAGCAAATTAACAAGAGAGTAAACAGCGAATTTTATTCGTTTATTAGAACCATTTTATAAAAGCAGAAAGTCATCTAAATTCAGTTAGAAAAATTCTTTCATTGAAATTTATACAAAAAATTTATAGTTGGAGATTTATTAGTCACTTGAGACCTAATAAAAAAAAGTTACTTTTAAGAAATAAGCTATTGCTTCGTATTTATTTATTTATTAGCGTATTTCATTCAACCCAGCAACACTCAATTTCCGTTTTTAACTCATAACTTTTTTTCCTAAATCGCAAATTTAATTTTGAAAAAAGATTCTTGATCAGCCTAAAAAGTTGTATATGTAAACATTTTAAGTTCAATGATACCCTATTTAATTATTGAGAGTTTTAAGTTTCCTTTCCATTTCAAACAAATAAAAAAAATCTTATTACGTATTCGAAAACTTGTAAATTTATAACAAAATTTTTTTTATAAAAATGAAATTTTATACAATCTTACTCAGAAAAATTTTCTCTACAATATAATCAAAAAATATTTACAAAAAAATTATTTAATAGTTAATTAAAAGCGAAAGAATAAACATTGTCATAACTATTTCGTTCTACCCGCTATTTCATTTTACCCTGTTTTACTATTCATAATCTAATATAATATATAGATTTATTTTATTTATTAGAGTTTAATTTATTATTATATTATTAAATTAATATTTTTTATTATTAAATAATTAATATTATATATGAAATACATAATATTTTTATATTTATATAATAATATAATAATATAATATTACGTAATTAATAATAACTTAATATAATAACTTATTAAATACTTAATATGATATTATTATTAAATAAGTTATAAAAATAATAATTATTATTTTTAAAGGTTTAAAAAAAAAAATGTCAATACAACTTCTATTTTATTTTTAGTACTCTTTTATTTTATTTCCTCAAGTACAAGACGAAATATTCATTTCATAGTTTTTACTTGATGTTTTACAAGCATTTAAATTTTTTTTCTTTCGTGGCGATCTTAACTGTGACAATTAAATATCAATATTATATTTATTATTACAACTAGTAGTAATAATAAATATAATATTGATAAACATCACAGATAAATATTAATTATAAATAATTTATAATGGCAGTAATGAAATTTAAATAATATTTACATTGCATATAACTGTAATAATAGTAATTATTAAACAATAGCAATAATAATAATATTCTATAATGAGGCTAACACTCTACATACAGTATCTTTCCAACAAATGGGCAAAAAATTTCAAATTGTGAAATAGTGAATTGTGAAATACTTTGAAATTTGCTTAACAAACACAAACAAAATTTTTTTTCAGTAATTTATAATTGTTTTTAAATTATTTTTGAAGTACTTGTTTTTACTTTTTTTAACTTTGTCTTAGATATTTTTTTTTTTTGTCTTTTTTATTTTTTTTTAACTTTGTCTTAGATATTTTCATCTTGGCAATCAAACGCATAAAGTTCCACGTGAACTTCATTCCCTTAACCGGAAGAGATTACTTGAAAAACTTAGTCCAAAAGTACCAAACAGCCCTGCATTTATTATTTTACAAGGTGGAGAATCACAAACTCTTTATAGCAGTGATACAGAACCTTTATTTAGACAAGTAAGTTTTTAATTAAAAATAGTAAAAACTAAAAGTAAAATATTTCAGATATATTGATTGAAAATATTTAAAATAAAAATATTTTAGAATATATTGATTGAAAATATTTGAAATAAAAATGAAGGTATTTCAGAATGTATTGATTAAAAACAAAAGAGGTAATAGTATTATTAATAATTATTATATATATTATCATATTAACAATATTATGATATGTTATAATTCCGAATATATGATTTTTTATAATTCCGAGTGCTGGATGGCTAATTGACAATTTGTAATAATGAAAAAAAAAAAAAAAAAAAAGAAGTAGCAATACTCTTATATAGATGTGTAACTTATTCAGAAATTACACAAAAAATTTTTTTAATAGTTATCTTATGATTTAAAATGTTTAAAAATACAAAACAATTAAAATAAAGTTTGAAAGAATTTTGAAAAACCTTTTTTACTTTATTTTGTTTAATACAAAGTTTACTTTGTAAAAGCAAAGTTTACTTTGTAAAAGCAAAGTTTACTTTGTAAAAGCAAAGTTTACTTTGTAAAAGCAAAGTTTACTTTGTAAATGCAAATTAAAAAGTTATATTGGTTTAGGTAAAAAATTTTTTTTGAAAAATTCTTAAAAAAATCTGGAAGTGTTAAGAAGTATTTATGATTTGAGTATATATACTGCATGCAATAGCCAATTAAAATTTCTGCATTGCAGTTTCTTAACATTGTGAAAAATGGATGAAATTAAACATTATCTTTACAAGTTTATGAGTTTGCACTTAACAAGTTACAATCAAGCTACTCAGCAGCCAAATCTACATGGAATATAGGGTTCGTGTCTAAAGCAAAGTGTCACTTTCAATGTGTTCATGTGTTTATAACTACCACTTGTGCAAAGTGTTAGAAAACTACATGAACTAAACTCATGTTAGTGTTAGGTTATTAGTATTAGGTTAGTGAACCTGGATGAAATTCTTGTCTTAAAAAGTGTTACTTTTAGTTTGTGGGAACATTGTGTACTAGGAACTATTTCTGTTGAAAACCAGAATAATGACAGCAACCAATTGTGCTCAACTTGACATGCTTGAAGTAATTTAATTAAAAAAAACATTGTAAACAACAAAGTTCAATATTTCTCCATGACAACGATCAGCCTCACACTGCAAAATTAATTAAAAATTATTGGTGCTTGGCTGGGAAATGTTGCCTAGTTTTTTCTACTTGCCTAACTTTGTGTCATTATTATTTGTTTCAATCACAAGTTTGAGCAATCAAAGATTTAACAATGAGGGGTTTTTTAAGTGTGTCTCAGTTCCATTTTTGGTTTAAAGCCTAAAAAGTTTTATGCTAACAGTATTTATTTTTTGTCTAAATGTTGGCAAGCGGTCATAGCCTAAATGATGGTGAATTGTTGAAGATTAGTTATCAAATTAAAGTTAAATAATATGAATATTTATATATTAACTAGCAAAAAGCATCCTGTAATACGGGTTATGGTCGCTCTGTTACATAACTAATTTATAGTGGCTGTTTTCCACAGTTTAATGTCGAAGCACCTTAACTAATACTATTTTAGAAAAATGCCTTTAACTTGAAAAAATAATTCATCCGTAAAATTAACATAAAAAGTATGAGGAGGTAAAATAATTTACCAACTACTACTTAACATTTACAATTACTACTTAACATTATTTGAGTAATTTACAACTGGCATAGATCATAACAGCGTAAAGCAGAACCATTTTATTCAACATTCCTAAGTATAACACAATATGTTTTTATTACTGACATAAAATAATAACACATCATCATGCTTTAAATTGATAAAAGTATCAACTAAATCCTTGTAAATAATTTTTATAACATGAACTTTAATTATTCATTAAGATTAAGATGAAGTTAACTTATATTATACAGGAACTACTAAGCAGCTGAGTACAAATACCTTTCAAACAAAATCAAACACTTGCATAACAAATTTAAAAAAATATGAAAACTTTGATCTTTTATATTGCATTAATGCGTCATATGACAAACCTAAAGTAAAAATTGTAACAGATAAACAGACACAAAAAATTGTAAACCAAGCTGACTGGACCCGGGTCTTGTTAAGTCTGCTCAACACAGACCATTTCTATATTATTTTATTGGCCTCTTTTTTTCATTAATTTTCAGTAAACGGTATTTTGCTACCATTTACAAAAAAATCCTTTTGTTACTCGAAATTTAATTTTAATTAATCCTAAATATTTTGACACTAATAAAGAGTTTCTCCCCTCTTCTTGCTTTAATGGTGGCCTGGTGAGTAATGCTTTTTTATTAAGAGTTTTTGATGAAGACCTTTAACCAAAATAATAAAATGTAAAACAATGATTTACATATGAATCAATGTATACAAAAACAATTTAAGTCATTTTTTTTTTAATATTTGACTTTTTGATGAAAATTTGTTCTTTAAAGACAGTTCCACCATTGTATAGTAAAACATTCTAAGTCAGACCTTTCCGTACACGTTGAATAGAGAGCTGAAAGATTTTTTTTTGAATTTATTAAAGTAATAATTTTGGATTTAATACATTTTTTCTCATTTCCTGAAAAAATAGTTTTTGTGACAGAACGTTTTTGTATACATCAATTCATATATAAGAACGTTTTCTTTCTTTCCTCAAAAGCTAACTAATTAGTTAAACATGTAAATAAAACTTACTTACATGACCACAAATTATTAGGCGTAAAATATAAAAAGGTTTAACAATATTGAAAAAAAAATCAAACTAAGATATAAATTGCATTTTTAGCAAAATGTTGTCTTGGTTTTTAGTAAATAAATAAAAGCAGTAAGTTCCAATAATGAAACTACCTATTATTCATTTTTAACAATAGACGCCAACGGAAAGGTAAGCCAAGCTGTCTATCAACAAAAAACATCACAACAATAACACAAAACAATAAAATCAAATGAAAATAACAAACTAAATTAAAATATGAAAAGCAAAATTAAAAAAACCAATTTAGAACTAACTATATTTATCTTTTTTTCTGGCATTAAAAGCTGCCAAGTCACACCTCTGCTATAAGTACACCGCTTGGCTGACAAGGTTATCAAACTTGCTCAACATAATACCAAGTCACACCACTTTGAAAATATGGAAACAAACATATATACAACTATAAACAAATATGACTTATTATAACACATATAAACACATTTTATAACAATATTAAATGACATATTTATCAAAAACTATAAATAAATAAAGTTACACATACAAAATGTGCTCATAACCTTTTAACAGTAAATTTTCGAAATGAAAATCTAAAGGCAATAAATTAAGAACATTAGAAAGTATAACACTTTTTGTGTAACACTTTTCACCTACCATACCATGAATAGGATGTTTATCAATTTTGAAAAACAAACTATTAAATGCTCTAGTTCTTGAACATGCAACATATAGTTGACTATGAGAGAACGGTTTTATATATATGTCTTTTGTCTATGAGTTTAAATTCATGTTATGTAATATATGGACGTTCCTTAAAGTAAAACACTTGAAACTAAAAAGATTTTATTTATTACAATAGTTGAACAACCATGGGACAATAATAGTTAAACAATTTAAAGAATTATATCTTTAAATAGCAAGCAACTCGTAAAATATATTTTGTAAATGGTCAATATCTATTGTAGTATTAAAAAATACACAAGAGCTCAGTAATTACATAAGTTTTATCAATTCTCCTACTAACTCTCATTAAAGTCTCATCTAAGAGAGAGAGAGAGAGAGAGAGAGAGAGAGAGAGAGAGAGAGAGAGAGAGAGAGAGAGAGAGAGAGAGAGAGAGAGAGAGAGAGAGAAGAAGTGTTTCAAAAGCAGCATGTTAAAAAAAGTAAAAAAGACATGCAATAAATAACAGTTACTGGTTTTATTATGCTACCAATAAACAAAATTATTTTTACCTTAATTAAAAGTTAACTTCCTGCATTGCTTAATTAAGATTCAGCTTCTCTCTAACTGTTGACTAATGATTATTATATTAAATTTCACATCATATTAAATTTACAAAATTAAAACCATGTTTCAACAGTAAGCAAAATAATCAAGTAATGACAAAGGCAACTAAAAAAAAAAAAAAAAAAATTGAATCATTTAAATTTGAAACTGTTATTGATACTATAAATAGTAAAATTCATACTTTGCTTTATTCTGAAGTGTCTAATGTAAAATTTAATTAATAGACATCAAAAAGACACCATAATTTTATCAGCCCTAGATCTATCTCTCTTTCATTTGACAACAATTTTTTGTTCGCCTATTACCATTTAAACTAAAAACCTCTTCGAGCCTAATATTATACACCTGTTATCATTAAACATATTACCAGTGATTATACTACTGTTACAAATAAATAAATTAACGTAAAACAATTTTACAAATCTTGATCTTTTCTAATCAAAGACTACATTTTAAATTAAGATTTATTGATATTCATATATTTTTATAAGTTTATATAAAGAAGTCGTTCTTAAAAATATAAATCAAAATTTATTTAAATTATTTTTAATTTAACAAAGAGTTTAGACTACAATGCACAAAGTTATTTTTACTTTCAGGCACTATCTTAATGTACAAAAATAATAAATGCAGAACCTTGTATAAAAAAAGAAGCTAAGTCAGTCTAAAGTAATATATATATATATATATATATATATATATATATATATATATATATATATATATATATATATATATATATATATATATATATATATATATATATTTATGTATGTATGTATGTATGTATGTATGTATGTATGTATGTATGTATGTATGTATGTATGTATGTATGTATGTATGTATGTATGTATGTATGTATGTATGTATGTATGTATGTATATATATATTCAAATTTTTTCTATTCTTTTTATTTTTTCTTTCAGATAATATTTATATAGATACAGAGAAATATAAAATATACTGAAATATAGGCACATTTATGTATATAAACT